ATGAAATACAGTCATTTATCAGCTGATAAATTATTTTTCGTTCGTTTAATTTTAATTATTATTTTATTCTTTTGTCAGTTTATAAATCGTACGGATATCACTTACTCAGACTAATCGTTTCACCTTCAGAGAAGGTGACTGTGAAGAACATTTCATCCATTCGTATTTGTACCTCCATATCTTTGTTTGAATCTAGATCCAATGCTCTTCTGCATCTTTCGAGCACTTCCTTCACTATCGATGGCATCGTTATTTCACAATTTATATCCGATCTTAATATTTTCCAAAAAGGCACCTGATAAATTGTTTCACAAAAACGTGTTCAAGATGGCTACCGCGTCGGAGAAAATCGAACCAAGCACGCCGCGATCACATTTTACAATTCGTGCACTATTTTTCAATTTTATAAAACACAGGGCAGTGGAAACGTGCCTGGGCCCATAACCTGAAGAGATATTAGTTATTTAGAGGTCGGAAAAACAATCAGTACACAACAATTAAATACAAAAGGAACTGTCGTTTATTTGTTCAAAGACGAAGCTCTCTACAAGTCGTACGATCGTACTAAAGTGAGGAGGGAGGCAGAGAATCGCGCTTAGTCGGAGAAGAAGGAAATGACTACTAGAGTCAAACGAGTAACATAATAAAAGAAGCGCCAATATTTGAATACTCCAACATCTAGATTCAGACATTCGATTACGACTCAAAACTTAAATATGGATCATAAAATAAGGTTAATTAATTAATATGGTTAATTCAGACTCTGAATAATTGCTCTAGAATATATCATGACTCCAGTCAGGAACTCGGCACTTTCTCATGGTTTAAGACTGGATCATTGCTCGAATCTAGATTTAGACTTTATGAAACATATATTCATTCTGACCTGCAGTAATACCAGCACATGATATTTTTCCAAAAATTAATATTCTTAATAATATATTTGTTTTATTTGAAGTTTAAAGTATGGTTTCTATTTCAATAAATACTGTTAGCGCCTTAACAAAAAAATTTAATTATTATTTCATTTTTAATTATAATTTTGAACATTAAAGTCAGTGTTGTCCGGCAGTAGTTGGGATTTTTAGTCTATACCATATAAGTTGATACTTCTAATGCTGTCAACTCTCTTAAATTGAATTAAGAAGGAGAATATTGTTTCTTAAGGGAAATACTTTCCGAACAACTTGTAAAACATAAATAAAAAATTAAACCGTGTTCCCTTCATAAGGTTTCATTATAGACAATAAACCTTTTTGGAAGGTTACCAACAAAGGCGCAGTACACTTTTGCGCAAAAAACTTGTTGAGGATATGCTCTCATATTATACTATCATTTTAAAATAAAAAAAAGTTTAGATTAGATTAGATTTATTTTATTTCAGCTAAGATTGAAAAAACATGTTTGTCATTGCTGGTTTGAAGTGTTACGCTTCTATAACCAGTCGACAAAATTGCAGCCTATAATAAGATAAAAGTACCCACTATAAATCAATTTATAAAATTTTACCTATTATGAGACAAACTTAGAAAACATTAATTTGAGACAGAAATAAAATTCAAAGGATTAAAATAATGAAAGAGCTAAAAGTTAATTTATATTTTTAAAAAATTAGTTTATTACGCAATGTCAAAAAATGGAAAATGTCGTTCATGATTCCAGCAAAATCTCTTAAACCCTGTAACTTATTATTGATTATTATGCAACAATTCGTTTTTTATTCTACAATCTATTCCAAAAATGATATAATTTAAATATAATTAATTTTTTAAAGAAAAATATGTGTCTTATAATAGGTTCATAATTTTATACGTGTCCGTAATTAAACGACTTTGTCTCAAATCAAGGCATTCTTTTTAAACACTGATCATATTTTAAAACACTTCAGTTTGTTGATTTATTTACAGAATCTCTCATTATAATAATTCTCAAGGATCATTGTTTCCTTATTTTAATTATGCAGCACATAAACAAACAATGACAAATATTGAAAAGTTGAAAATAATCAACTGAATACAACATAACCTCCAAATTTTGTTTGCACACAATATAAGCTGTATATGTTAAAGTACTTTATATACATTAGTACAAAAAATTACCGCTAAAGGACAGCAGCAGACAGCTCATTAAAATTTTATTTATTTTTATTTTATTCGTATATTAATTATATTAAATTTTTAATTTATTCAGCGCAAATAAAAATACAACCTGGTAATTTGAATAACATTATTGTAAGAAGGTCATAATTTTTTATAAATAATCGAATTATATATTATTAAATACGAATTTATTATTTACGAAGTACCAAAAACTAATTTAAAAATACATTTTTTTAACAGGTCAATAAGAGAATTCTTATGTATGTTTCAAGATGAATAGAAGATTTTTTATTTTCTCAATATTCACATGACATTGGTCTTACATATATTAGTTCGTGTCAAGTGAAATAAATCTTAGAAAACTACAAAATTCCAATCACTATCATAGTTGCTGTTGGATCTAAAATTTAACCTCTATTTATACCTTTTAAAAGAACTATGCAGCTGGAAATGTCATAAAAAATTACTGTGCAGCTTTTAAGTTTTCATTTTTCACTAAAAATAAATATACAAGAACAAAAACCTGAAAATGAACGTATTCATGTACATTCACACAAATTAAAACGGTTCTTGCAATGAAGATGTACTTTATGTTTTAAAAATAAACACGCAAAAATGTACATGTTCCTACGCATCTCTACATTAATTTTAAACAGGATGTGTACACTATACGTTGCATCTGGATTTGAAAAAGAGATATTATTAGTTTAATTATTTACTTACCTGAATAGTAATGATTTTCAAAAGTGCATATAAGATTTTATAACTGTCAATGGCAATTATTTATTTTCCTTAAAAAATAGAAAAATTTCGTTGATATGCAAAGAAAAACAGGAGTCCAGAAATGTATTTTTGTTTATAAATACGCCTACATTATGGAGAAGTGTATATAAGCCATATAGCAAAAGGTATTTTTATAATAATCTCTTACTTTCTCTAAATTGAAAAAAATTTTGATTTTAAATTTCTAAAAAATGATAAAGGAAGATACAACGAACATCGCTCTTTTACTCATTTACTATATTTTAACTCAAAAATGATAAAAATAATGCAGAAAATTATAATCTAAGGATTCTTCATACAGATCATTTATCGACTACTAGCTCTGATTGGCGCCGCTTTCTAGACACTTATATGTTTCTTGTCACTTTTGTTCGAAAATGCGTCATTTAAACATATTTTTTTAAATAATAACACGCAAAACTGAAATTCTTTAACATTAAGTATCTACAATAATTTCTAAGTGTAAACCAAATATATAAATATTGTATTTAATCAACATTATCCTTCGTTGTACATTACGATTCATTTAAGAAGATGTTAAATAAAATAAAGTAAAAATTGTTTTTCCGTATTTATGTTATTTATAGCAATATTATAAAATGATACAAGGCGACCAGATACAGTTGTAACAATAAACATATATTGTAACCCTACCGAAAGAGTGGTACTGGAATGGTACTGAATTGGACTTGGCTTGAGTTCCACTTCAGTACCACTACCTGATAACCCATAAGAAGACATTTTTAAAGTACTTTAACAATAGTTTTAAAGGTATATAAGATCAACAAACCGTCTCTCACGATATACGTGTAAAACAGCAAAAAAAAACATAATAGTTTGTAGAAAATTTCTGTTAAGTTTGGAAATTATATTGCAATCCCTCCTTGAACAATAGACCCCTAGGTCCTTTGTTGAAGGATTAAAATTTTAACCCGAGTTTTATTGATTAAAAAATTTGTAATTTTAATAACTCAACTTTAAAAAATATATATTCAGATTCGTTAATATTTCCAGATTATGAATATCTAAAATTTATCATAAAATAATTACATTTAAAAAAGTTATAATTTATCTCGTATACCTTAAGTTTGATAAAAAAATGGACATCATTTTTGAATTTAGCTGACAAAGGAAATATCATATGCATAATAATGTATGAAAATAATATAAATCCATGAAAAACAAATATAATATTGAAATAAATATAAAGTTTTAGTTTAAACATATTGAAAAAGCTAGTCGCTTTTCACTTTTATGAGGGTATTAACGGTAACTCGACCCTTTTCGCAGGTAAATTTCCCAGTTCCATTTCAGTACCAAAATGCACCAAATTAGTACTGAGTTGGTAATGAGATCTCAGTTCCAATTTCCCAGTACCAATCCAGTACCACCCTTCCGGTAGGGAACAATAACGTCAATTCCTCCTAAGCTTTTAATTATTGTTACAACCCTTCACGGTATCATGGTTAGTTGGAACAGTTACAGACCTTTATATAAATTTCTATTGCAGATAACCACATTTCATTTTACGTATTTAGTTCAGCTTTCGGTCATGTGTATAATATAATTACTATGTTCAATAACCGAAAAATTGTTACAACTATACCCAGTCTTTACTAATAATTTTCTAATATTTTAATATATATATATAGAAATAAAATATAATAATTTAGAAATATTATTTTCAAAAATTTTTCTACATGGAATTCGGTAATGGATTTCTCTCAGAAAGAAAAAAAATCGCTTTTTTCAATGTTTTTGGTTCAAGTTTATTAGAGTTGGGTGGCATTGACAAAATAAAAAGTGTAAATTAATAGGCGACAGAAAGTGCCATCTATATATTAATAAAAAGAATAGTTCGAATAAAGAGCGCGAATTGTAAATTCCACCACTCTCCATCAATTCGTAACCAGAGATGATAAAGTTGATTTTAGTCCAAAACTGGAAATACACTTAAAAAAATTTTGGCCCAGGAAGACCCATAGTGGGGGCATCTGCAATCATCTGATCTGTGGGTACGTACTCGAGATCGATTGGATAATCTTTCAGAACGTGGTGAATGAAATGATGTTTTGATCTAAAGTAGTACACGGGGTTTTTAGCCAACTTTCCGGCCGCTTAGTTGTCATTGTAAATCGTCAGCTTGGCAAATTTCGATAAACGTAGATCCCTCAGAAAACGAGTGAGATATACAGCTTCTTTTGCTGCATCGGAGATGGCCATATATTCAGCCTCGGTAGAAGATAGCGCAGTTGTACGCTGCTTCCGCGATTCCCAGGAAATGACCGCTCCTCCAAAGATAAAAATGGAGCCTGTATAAGATCTTCTGTCTATTTTACAGTTGTCCTAATCAGCATCAATAAAAGAGAATAATGAATTTGTGTCCTTTTGATATTTGAGCCCCAGATCCTTGGTTTCTTGAAGATATCTAAGTACTCTCTTAGCTGCTGTCCAATATACTCGTTTTGGATTGTGATTGAACTGTCCAAGAATGCTGACAGCTTGTGCGATATCAGGTCTGGTTCCAATTGCTGCGTACATGAGAGCACCAATCAACTCTCTGTAGGGACATTTTTCTTCATTTTCAGAGACTTCTGCGTTGTCGTCGAACATTGATTCAGGTGCAAGAGGTGTGCTAACTGGTTTGCAAGAACTCATACTAAATCTCTGCAGAATCTCATTGATGTAGCCGGTTTGAGAAAGAGTTATACTTTATACTCTATACATCGGTGTCCATTTTCCCATTTAAGTAGGCCGTTTCGATGTCAAACTTGGTCACATGAAGATCAAACTTGGCTGACATTGCCATCAACGATCTAGGGAAACTAAGGCGTGCAACGGGAGCGAATGTTTCGAAATAATGAATACCTGGTTGTTATAACGAAACCTTTAGCTATGACTCGCGCTTTTCTCCTCTCAAGATGTCCATCAGGTCTGCACTTATTCCTGAGTACAGTGCGACATTTGATATTCTTATTTGACGATCGATCAACTAAATCAAAAGTGTCGTTCAATAGCAAGCTTTTAATTTCAGCAAGCATGGCATCTTCCCAATCATCACTACTAGGTCCTGATAATGCTTGTTGGAACGGAATTTCGTCTGCGGTCATAGCAATCTCGGCACGTTCCCATCCTTGAAATTCTTCTCCGCTGGAAGAAATTGTATTTTCCAATTGATTGGCTTCTCGAATTGATTCATTTAGAGGTTCTTCTTCGCTTGACTCCGTTGATTCATCACGTTCAAGATGTTCGACTGGATTGTTTACAATCATTTTGTTCCTTTTGAGTGGACGTCCATGTTTACCGGTTTCCACTTTTGCAGGTCTTCCAGGTCCTCTTCTTTCGTTATTCGGATTTTCTCGAGGCGTATCTGGTGCTGGAAAACCGTTTGGATTCTCGAGTGGAGCACCGTTGACTAGAACATCTGTATTCTGATCTTTTAATTTATCAGAGAAGAATTTCCTTTTCCGTTCGATGACAGGATTTTCTCGAGCAATTTTATTAAAAATTCGTCCATGAATTGTACATCACGCGTGATACGGATTTTTCATTCATCTGGACCCATATTCTATATGCTTTTGCGACAGTTGAGTATCCAACGAAGATCGCTTCAATTCCACGAGGTTTTAATTTATCCATGTTAGGTGATTTATCGAGAAAGAAGACTTTAACTCCGACTTTCCTAAAATGGCGTCATAGTCATATCATGTCGTTGTTTCGCGAACATATCACCACCACTGTCATCAATTTTATGCTCTCTTGCAAAATTTTCTTCGACGATCTTTTGAATTAATGTATCGACGGAAGGCAGCGTATCGCGAGATTTAATTGCGCAACAAAAATTGCTATAGCTAGTCGGTAAGCTATGTAAAAGCATTATTGATAATAAATCTCCGTTAATCGTAACATTCATCTGTTGAAGATTATCAACGGTATTCATAAAACGTGATAAATAATCCTGAACATAATCGTCTTCTCGCATCTTTTGTGACAGTAATTGTTCGAGTAAAGTGGCCTTTTGAGTAGGACCCTGTGAAGCGTTAATGGAAGCTAACTTCGTCCAGACTTCATGTGACGTTTCACAGTTGCGAATATGCTTTAATTGTGAAGAACTGATAGATATACATAGAGATAATATAAATAGAGTGGAGATGGTCTGTATAGAGGCGTCCGTTTGATAGAAAGAGAACGCGATTTTAGCACCAGTAGGTGTCTCTCTTGCGCTGGTGCTTATTGAAGGACAGATACTGGTGTTAAATCTTTCTTCTCTTTCCAACCCATTCTGTTTATGTCAGGACACTTCCCTCTTACGCAGCCGCCTATACCTTGTCTACTCTATTTATATTATCTCTATGTAGATATAATTAGATCGGATTTTGCCAAACGATCCTCCGAGACCCATCTGTCGTGCGCTGCCTGTGACTGAACGCGAGTGTCACCATCGCCACTTACCTCTGGTTTGATTTTCTCACCTGCGACGTAGGACCAACTATTGTTCCTCGTTAAAAGTGCCTAGACCTGAATTTTCCAAGTATTGTAATTACCTTTGTAAGAAGTTCTATACGTGCCTTGGAAAAAGGTTGAGTCGTTTTGAAAAAAGGCAATTTTCCCGACGCAGATGTATGACGATAATGCAAATGGCGGACTGTCCCTTTTTTGTTAATGGAATGAAATGTACACTCCCGACGGAAATGACGAACAAGCACTCATCAACACGGAACAAATGTTTTGTTAACGTTCCCTGCTAAAAATAAAATCAGAAATCAATCTCAAAACGTCAGAAATCCTGACGTTTTGAGACTATTTTGATGTTTTGTGATGCTGCTGACTAATTCTGACTTAAATAGTTTTTATGGGCCTGACGTTTTCTAAAAAGTGACTATTTCTCACTACGTTTTATTTTTTTTGTAAAAAGGGTTCCAAGAGAGGTACCAAGGCCACTCAAACCCACCATATAACTCTATTATATTATATATTCCCTTTTTCCAATAGAAGGGTCCTTTCGAGGGTCCATCAGGTTTTATGACTTTTTAATGCAAAATAAAAAATTATTTAAATTTGATTAAATATTTTTTTAAATGTTATATTTGTAATTTATAGATTTTAACAATTCCAATGATATAAAACATTATGTAAAAACTCTAAAATTACATAATGATTATACAATAAATACTTCATTAATTAAAATTAATTCTCAATAATTTAAAAATATTTGCAAAAAATTTTATATCGTTGTAATTGTATTAACATGTACATTACGAATATAATATTTAAAAATTATTTTTTTCAAATGCAACAATTTTTAGTTTTGCAATGAAAAGCCATAAAACCATAAAAGATCCTTCTGGCCTATACTTTTCTTTTTGTCCTTTTCTAACGTACATATAATATATATGGAATCACGTTTGTAAGACAAGGACAGAAAAGGGTCCCTACTTCAAATTTGTATTTATTATTTTACAGTAAGCTAGTTTCCTTACATTTAGTTATAAGAAAGCAACATATGTTGAAAACCTATTCTTACCACTGTATTAACTCTATATATATATATATATATAAAATGGAAAATATCGAATATATTCATAATAAAAAACAAAATAATTAATAATTTTCTTTTATATTATTAAATAATTAAAAATTTGTTATAACATATTATTATTTAAAAATAAAAAACAATTAAAAATTGAACAATTTTTTTAAAATTAATTTAATGTATGGGAAAGGTTGTAGAATAATCGTAAACTTCATATACAATATTTATGTTTATTTATTTATTCACATTCTTTTTACATTAAAAATTAAACAAATATATATATTTTCAATTTTTTTTTAATATGGCTGCGAGCGATGGTTTCTCCGAGGCGTGCGAAGAACTTTGCTTTCTCTGTTTTTTTTGTTCCTTTTGGAATATTTGGGTGTTAAAATCCTCCAAAAAGTCTTCGTCATAAACCTCGTATTCCATATTTTGAACGGTAGTTTCTGTCTTTTTCTCACTCAATCCAATTTGTTCATTTACCCAGCGATAAAGGTACCATTCTGTAAAAAGGAAAAGAATTTTAAGGTTAATTTTGTTAAAGACAATTATGGTTAACTATACATATAAATGTTGTACATACTTAAATTGAGATAGTGGTATATATGAGTAATAGTAAATCACAGTTTGGTAATTTGCAGTACATAAATAAATAATAAATAAATAAATAAAAAATAAATAATTAAATAAATAATATAATTTATAATAATAATAAATATTTATGTTTATAGGTCTAAAGTAATCTTTGTTTTTTATAACCATAGGGTAGAGAATCATAATTTTCTTCCCTACGGCGTTTCATATTTACTACTCGACAGGTTTTCTTTTCATCTTTTGTAACGACTAAGTGTTCTTTAGTAGTTCGAATTACTCTAGATGTTATTTCTATAGGGTTTCCTTCATTGGTTACGAGATCACGAATCGAATGAAAATTAATTAAAAGAGAATTTTTAAAATTTAATGAAATTCCTTTAACCTTGCAAACCGTGGACTCGGTACCATCAGATTTTCGAACACTGTAGGCGTAAAATTTAGGTCCGCCAGAAATAAAAGCATTAATATAACTACCTGCTCCGTAATCTTTTTCAACTTCATCCGTTAAATCTCCTAACAAAGAGCCCACAGGGGGTATATATTCTGTAGGATTACCACTGTTTACATAAATGCAAGAATCTGTATCGTAATATAACACCCGTCTATCCAACTTATGCAGGTAATTATATAACTTTAGACGAGCTTGTGTAGTTGTGTATGCAGCAATAACAACAGTTGTGTTTGGAGCAGGTGTTATTGCTTCGGACCTTTTTACCCAACAGACGTAGACAATATCATCGTTTACAGGGACAATGTCATTGATCTCAACCTCAGGGTTATGAAGTAAACGTAATAATTCATCACGTGTTTCTACAATTGTAGTTTGTGGTAAATTATCACGTTGACCGAATTTGCCCCAGAAGGAATTGAGACAGAGTTTCGCAACAGAACGTAACCCTGGATTTTTATGTATTTTAATAGGGTCTAATTTTATCCCTTCTTCCTGTTCATAATTTTGAATATAATTAAGTTTAGATTGTTCATCTGTACAATATGATGGCCAACAACTTGCTTCTTGTTTAATTTTTAAAAAGTTATTTATATAAGAAACTAACAAGCTTCCTTCGCGAGTAGCTGGATCATATTGTACAATATCATATTGCCAGATTTCATAAATTTTTACTATTTTATAACCAAGATTTACAGCTGCTTTTAATTCATCAGAAACCCAAGTTCCTTCAAGTACACGTAATGACTCATCTTCATGAGTGCAATCACTCGATTCAAGAGTTTCACAACATGTACGACAAAGAGGGAACATGAGTTTTCCGTGTTGTCGAACTGGAAGAAGTGGATGGTACAAATCACGCGGAGGTAAAATTTGACAAAGTACTAAACCTTCTACATTGGTAATGTCATACTCAGTTCCAGTGAATTGTTTACATTCTCCTTCACCAATGTATAGCTTTGGATGTCCAACAGGAAATTTACCAGTTTTACATATATACGGATATAAAGAACAAATGTCTTTATATTCAATTTTTTCGCCTTCTTTAATCTCATAAAAAGATCTAGTATTTCCTGTACGACCTCCATAGAAAGCATCTCGAGGGTTTAGTACTTTATTATTCTTTAAAATTGGGTGATTTTTAAAAAAATCTTTTAACTCTGCGTTATTTGATATTTCCCTATCAAACTGACACTCCCAAATCTCAATGACCTCATACCCATTACGTTTAATTTTATCTCGAATTGCGAGAGTCCGATTATACCGGTCATTCATAGAGGTTTCAGATTGACCTATTTTGACATCACGATTAGTTGAAAAACATTCTGGACACCCATGCCAAAAACATCCATGATATTGAAAAACATAACGAATGCCGTTATGCTCATAATAACCATCAACTATCGGTCCTTCAATTAGTCTGTATTCTCTACCTCTACCTGCGTGAGTAATAGAAACCCCTCGCTCACGTTCCATGAACAAAAGCCATTCTAAAGATTTTCGAGAGTGATTATCTCTCAATCTATAACCTCCTCTTGGAATAATACCTATTGTGTTTTCTTGTAAACACATTTTACGGTAGTATCTATTACAAGCTGAGGCTATAGTTTTAGCCTCACTAAAAGGATATACATTTCCATACTCAATGAAAATTTTACGAAATGCAACACATGCACATCGTAAAATATCCACATCGTTTTTACAATATGAAATTAATTCATCCTGAAAATTAAAAACATATGCAGGGTTGGATTTTTTTTCATTGTACCATTCAATGAATTCTTTTCGTTTAGTGTCTGACATTGTGTCAGGCGAATAAAATTTAATATCTGGTAAAGTACCTGAATAGCTTTCATTTTCAGGTGTATTAAATAAATGAGGAAATGTACCCTTTCTTTCTCCTACAAGCTTCATGATTTACAAGGTTATTTAAAATAAATTGAGCATCATAGCTACGTGCGTTGTGGGCGATGCAAATAATTTTTTAAAATTTTTTTATAGGATGTAGTGTAAAATTGACAAATTGGTGAATTGAATCATTACCTTTGAAAACAAATTCTCTAACCAACCCACATTGATTGCAAGGTTTTGTTATGTCTGGTTCATCAATGCACCAAGAGCAAACTTGTTGAGCAACACAGAGATTTACTTTATGAATATTTATTGAACTATCGGTTTTCATGGATTTATCTTGCTGTGCCTCAAAGTCATAAAAAATGAAAATTGTGGGTTCTCCAAAAGAATTACTTTCATCGCCATTATTTTTATTCGGTACATGATCTCGTACCTTCGACATATAACAATCATGGTTGAATTTTTGATCAGTTTTACAAATTTTGCAATAAGAAATACCACAAATATGATCTTTCTTTTTGTCAAAATTTATTAAATTTGAGCAAGAACAACATATTCGTAAAGTATCACAAACTGATTTGCCAGACCTAAAGTTTTGTCATCAAATGCCACAAGTCTTATTGAATCTTTTAAAAAATATTCTTGGAATTTTTCCAACTCAGGATATCCACAACCTGCCTGGGGAATCGCAATATGTGCTTTTCGTGTTAATTCGCGAGCCAATTGAGTTTGCAAAACTGAATTTTGCTTACGAATTTTCGTCCAAGCAGATTGTGTTTCCTTCGTTTTTTCCGCTTTTAATTTATTATTACAAAGTCCAACTACTATAGATCTTGGAAGACAAAGATTGTCTTTATTTACGATTGTTACCACTGATCTTTTCTTTAAAATGTCACCGGTATTTCCATGTCTCCCTGAACCAACAGGATTACGCGCACACTGAATGAAAACCCTGAACGAGTCGTCGAGTTTAAAATTTTCTGCACTTTGTGCAATAGAAAAAAATAAACTCCAAAAGTCTTCAAATGTAACCTGTCGAACCAGTCTGTACGATAAAAAACTAGACCCTTGACCTAACGTGTCCGAGTGAAACTTCATCCCGATAAAATCATTCGGATTATATTGGGTAAGAATGGTATTGAAAATACTTTTTAAAGTATTTTCTAACCATGCTACAGGATCTACAGTTTCACTCGGTAAATTATTAAATTGTATAATATATTTGCTACCCTGTATTTTAAATTTACGCATATAACAACTTGTAATATTTTCAATTTCAAAATTTTTTACTGCAAAATTACCTAACTGATTATTAGTATTGCTCATGCCAGATGGTCCCGCTTCATCGGCCTGTGCTACATATCCACCACCTCGTTGTGTGATAGTATCTACATTAAAAATATTTTTATGTGAATATGCCAGAAAGTACAAATCTTGTTCGATTACTTGGTCTAATGGTAAGGGACATATCTTAATATACCATAGATCAAGGGTTCGAGCCTAACAATTTTTTTTTTTTTCTTAACTTCAAAAAATAGATATATTTTTATTTTTTAAACGTAATTTTCTTACAGTTTATTTCAAAAGGAACATTTGATTACCACAACGTGACACGAAATTTTGAGATCTAAGACTTGTAAATTGAAATTTTATTTTTAGAAAAAAAAAGATTCATACATGGTATGAAATTTTTACTATTAATTTTAAAAATAAAATTTCAATTTACAAGTCTTAGATCTCAAAATTTCGTGTCACGTTGTGGTAATCAAATGTTCCTTTTGAAATAAACTGTAAGAAAATTTAAAAATAAAGTACATATCTATTTTTGTATATAACTAATAAATTATTTTTAAAAAACTCACGATTTTGACTGCAGTCAGCATCTGAAGTGTCCTGCAAATCTGCAACAATCCGCAGGCATTCCTCCTCCATAATATTTTGATGTTCTAGTGAAACTGCGTGATCCGGAGGTGATACATTCACTGCCCTATATACACTTGCCGGAATTTCCTTCGGGAAATTATCACACACTGCACTATTTTGTAAATTATTTTCATTGTTCACATCATAAATTTGTGTCGTCGCACTAGAACTCACTTCTGATGATGGTTCTTGTCGTTGTTCTTTTTCACATGTTAGAATCGGTTGAGAAAATAATAAACTCGATTCTATAGATGAAAATTGTGTTGAAGAACCCGAATCTAGAATGACAAAACAGAAAAATATTTGTTAGTATATTTTAAATATAATAACTTGTTTTTATTTATTTATTTTTATATTTATAAAATAAAAATAAAATAACTTACCAGAAGCAAGAAGTGGTTGTGCTGGCAGTGGTGATGGTGGTGGTGGTGTTGATGACCGGGATAATAAGTTGGTCATCACACGTACACGTCGATCTTCGACAATTTCTTCGAGGGCTAGTTGACCCTTTACAATATTGGCAATTTGATTAATAATCGCCGGATCGTCGCACTGGAGCACCAATTGCTTAATAAGGAATTGAAGGAAAAAATCTTCGATTCCTACAGCACCGTGCACCGCAGCAAAGATATTTTTAAAAATATTTGCGTAAGACATTTTCGTTTTTAAAATGTTAGTGTTGAACTACACGGAAAATTATAAGAATAGTTTCTTACACTAAGACTGAGAGAAAAGTGATGTCGTGACACGTTGAAGATACCTTATAAGTATTTTTTTTACATTTTCGTACGAAAAATGGGTGTTTGTATTTTTGCTGCTAGCCAATAGGAAAAATAATCATATTAGTAAACAAGAGACGTAAATTTGTAAACGAAAATGCATTTGCAATATCTAAAACCTCAACATTAGCGTAGACTTGTGTTTACCTCAGGCTCCGCAAAAGCAAACATAGACAAACCGCTAATTAGTGCAAGACCCTTGGCTAATGAGTTATATATTTCGGCACTTTACTTATTTCTATTGTATACTACAGGATATACTATTTGTTTTTAAATACAATAATACATCTGTGACAAAATATATTTCATCATTATTAAAAAATGTTGCCTATAAATAAAAAAAAATTGCATACACTATTATTATAACTATATTAATAGTCTATAATGTAATAATAGTAACTACACTTAATAATATTCATCTTACAATATTATATAAGTGTTAATGCTGTATCCTAAGGGTAGGTGTCTACGTCATTTACACGTTAAAACCTGCTTTGAGTTGTAGAGATTTGATAAGGTATAACGTCATCGACACGTCTATTCTTGTCTAGGTTAAACGGGTATAAAATCCCGTGAAAAACAGAGAGGGTATTCACTTTTTGAAAAATTGTCTATCGCGACGTGTCTTTGCTTTCTACTTGAATAAAAATTTTCTAAACATGAGTAATACTGAAAAAATTAGTGAAGTTGAAGAGTTTACTGTGGTAAATGTTTCACAAGTGCAAAATGTTCAAGACCAACAAGAATCAATTATAACTATCGTTGATTCAAAAAAGAGGACACATTCAGAAGATTCTAGTAGTGAAAATGTTTCGTCAAAAAAGATGAAATATTCTTCATCACGACAACCTTTAATTTTGGCTACATCTTACGAGTTAAATAATTCATGCTCGAAAAAGGCAACAACTGGGTTGGAAATACATGAGGATGGAACATTTATACCTGTTGTCAGATTCTCGGACAATAAGTCAAGAGGGGATTCATTATGTCTTCAAGATTGGATATCTTTACAACAAAAGTTTGACGTTATTGTGGACTATTTTGATGGGCGTTATTTTTGCGCTGCACGACCAGCTCCTATAAAACTAAATTCATCAATTTTATGCTTTACAACTTCATACCATTCGAAAGCAATACTTATTGGTAAAACAAATTGCAACGAAGAAAATGCTGAGAAGAAACTTGCTGCCATAAAATCTTCTATTAATTTGAGGAAAGATTCATACTTCACAAGTAACATTGTTATGCAGGCAAATACATTTGAAGGATTACATAAAATAGTTGTGTGCATCGATGAACGCTTAAGGCGTTTGGAAAGAATTGCATTGGATGTTTTATTGTGTAAAAATATTTTTGAAAATGAATTATGTGAATACTTGGAGTCACAAAAAATTGTAAAACCTGTTGGTGAATTTGTGAATCAGTTAATGAATGTGAAATCAGAATTCTTTAAAGAAAATGTAAAATCTAAAATGACATCTTCGACATTTGTTAATTTATATTTTGAAATTGTTTTCTTTGAAATTTCTTGTACTTTAGGGTCTTTTCTCAGTACAGAGGTAAGAGAAAAATTATATAAAGAAGATGAACCAGAAAATAAAAAAAAAAAAAAAAGAAAATTAATAAATCTGAAAAAATATTTTTCTACTTTCTGCTAACATTTTTTATATTCATGTTTCATATTTCTGAAACGGTTTTTCATTTGTATAATATTCATTACAATAAAAAATTTTTAAATGTCTAAATATTCTATAAGAAAATTTTGTGTGTATGAATTTATTATTCTACCTTTTTCTTAACATTCCTACCATTTCAGAAATAGTTTAATCTATTTTTTTTAAAGCATCAGATATTAATAATAATTTTAAAATGATTTAAAACTACACTCAACTCTACACGAAGAGAAGAAGAAGAAAAGGTAGGTATAAGAGAGGGAGAGATAGAGATTGTGGTGGGGGGTGATGGCGGCGGCAAACCCGGATCGGCGCGGCGCGACTCGCCTCAACCTAGCGTATAGGAGGCGAGTTTCCCGCAACACCGAATAATTAGCGTATTTTCGGTGTTTTTGCCAGGCTTATATAAGCGTATTAAGCCTGGCATATGTACGGTACCTAAAAAATAAGCTTAAAATAGGTACCGTACTTTACGGTTTTCTGTTATAAAAAAGAATCACCTTTTAAAATACTTTCAGTATTCAAAATGCCTACACGATGGAAACATCCATTTACTTCAATGATTTGTGGACCAACTGGTTGTGGAAAAACAGTTTTTGTAAAAAAATTTTTAAAATATATTAAAAATATGACTGATACTGAATTCAAACGTATATTATTTTATTATTCTGAATGGCAACCACGTTATGTAGAGTACGGAAAATCTATAGAGTTTCGGGAAGGATTACCTTAACCTGCTGATTATTCAAATGATAATGACCAAGCTAAACTGATTATTATCGATGATCTTATGAGAGAATCCTCAAATAATACAATAGTCGACCTCTTTACAAAAGGTAGTCATCATAAAAATGTAAGTGTTATATTCATTTCTCAAAATTTATTTCATCAAGGACATGGGCAAAGAGATATTTCACTTAATGCAAATTATATTATTGTTTTTAAAAATCCATGTGATCGGGCTCAGTTTCAACATCTTGCTCGACAAATTTATCCTGAAAATCCACGTTTTCATCAAGAAGCCTATCACGATGCAACTGCCAAACCTCATGGTTATCTACTTTTAG